ATTTACTGTAAAATAAGCTAGTAAAATATATCAAGCTAAAATCTAATGGAAACCATCATACTTTTTTTTAATCTTTACATGTGTAATTAATGTTTGGTCCATTCCACGGCAAATGAAAGGTTCCCCAGCAAAGGCTGTATGTGTCAGTAGAACCTCCGCACTGCCCCCTACAGAGCAGGAGATTCGGTATATACACACAGAGGCAAAGTTAAAAGGCTTTATAAGGTGAATGAGGCACATTGTTAAGGAGAACCCACCCCCCGACCCTGGAGTGCCCTTGCTTTTGAGTTTGTCCTCACCGCAGAAGCTAACAGGGTGGGCACTCTTTATTTTACTGTGCCATAATCACGCCTTCGCTCACATGCCAGGCGAGGGGAGAGATAGGGCGCTGATTAGAGCGTAATGCAGCAAGGTCAAAGGGAGAAGGGGAGAGGGCTTGCCCCTTCTGTGGTTTTAAACTGGTGCCGAGGGCCAGAGTGGGAGAGAGCAGCCACCGGCACCACACAGGCCCATCTCAGCACATCAACTGACCGCCGATACTCCCATGAGCTTGGTAAGTCCACCGGAGGGCGTTGGGTCAACACGACACAGTGGAGCAGGACATGGAGCCAAGGTAATTAGCTGCCCAGTTCATCACATTTTAATTGGCCCAGCTGAATTTTAAGAAGTATGTCAGATGGAGATACTGTGCACTGGCACTCAGCAAGAGAGTTTGGTCTATCCAATGGCTTCTTTGGCAACCCCCTTGCTATATTTTCTGGCCCACGTCACTTCAAGGAAGCCCTCAGCACTTCAGGGTGATGCTTATTTGCCTCTCAAGGGTTCCTGGTCAAAGCCTCAGTAAGAACCTTGTCATTGCACCATTTAGTGCATAACCTGAAAGCCTTGGGAAAAAATATTCAGCTGCATAAATGAGTGTGAATCTTCAAAATATAATGACTAGTCACTGATTGCAGTTTGCTGTTTTATCCCTGGCCGTCCAAACTCATCTTACCCCTTTACTTATCATGCAGCTGTGGAAGATTGACATGTGAATAAGTTTCTGACCTGTAGCACTTCTTTCTCATTGTATTTCCTGTTCTGATACAACTTACTTTCTTGGGAGAAGATCATTGCAATCGTTTATTATAGTATTATATTATTTTGTTAAAGCTGGCAGCGATGCATCCCTGTGAAGTGTTGCATGAATATTGTGGAATCGAGATACACTGAATGTTTTCCTGGTTCAGCTACTTGAGGCTTCTCGTTTACACTTGATTTCAATACCAAATTTTTCTCACTTCTCTGCTATTCCATCTCACATCTGTGTGAGGTCTAGTAGTTGACCGCGAAGTGCCCTAAGACAAGAAATAAAATGCTATGTTCCAAGGTTCCGAATCTATTTGCTTTGTTGACCAGGGCATTTACTTTTGCATGTGTGTGTAATGTGTGGGTTTCGTTTCTTGTCTGATTGTTTGTCCTGCCTCATATTGTGCCTGTTACATGTGTAACCAGCAGCAAGATATGTTTCCTAACAGGCATGTGTTTCCAGGAGAAGGTTGATCTCGATCCCCAGAATAAGCAGAAACTTCACACCAATGACCTTTCTTGTTAGCAGAACGCACAATTCACTATTCACGTGAAATCTCTTGTTATCTGTGCTAGAGGTAAAAATGAAAGGTCACCGGAGGTCATATTATTATCTCAATTCTGACAAACTAACAATATGCAAATAGCAGCCACCAGATAACATTACAGTACATAGCAGTGATTCCAGGATTAAACAGCTTCCTTTTAAAGTCACACGTGCTCTTGAAAAATAAACAGCAGATGTGATGACATTGCCATCACCACACCTTGACTGGGGCTCGGTGTCTCTGCCCGGGAGGTTTGAATCCTACTGTTAGCAGAGGAATCACATCACCGCTGGGCCCTTTTGCAAGGCCCCTATCCCCAACTGCTCCAGTAGTGACCTTGTGCTCTGACCCCAAAACTGTGTCTTTCATGAAGCATAACATGGGGTATGTGAAACTTGAAGAACTCCAATGTACCTTAGACATATGGCAAATAAATAAATTACCTTATATACGTTTTTGACAGATTTAAGATCGCAGGGAGAAGATGCATAGCTAAAACAGTGCTGAGGTACATATTAGGTTATAGGGGACCTGTAGTTAATTATTGACACCTTTTTTTGATGATTCATTTTCCTGATTAGAACTCAGTCAGACTGGCAGTTTTTCTGTAATTCTAGCAGGATGTTAGTGGTTTACAGGTGTCTGATTGTACAGTACAAGAGTCTCTCCGAAATGGGTACTGCCAAACAGCTTGGGCTACATCTGCAGTTATGGCTTTTTGTTTCCTGTAATTTACAGTCCCTGACAGCAGAGGCATTCAGTCACGGGCCTGGCATTGGGTCACCATTCTTTTGTTAGGGTTTAACTGCCATCAGACTATTGGGATCTCCCCAAACCTGTTCAGAAAATTAGGTGTTATGAGGTCAAAAAAGAGTTTCTCCTTAGGTAAACAGCTACTGTATGTGTTTCAGAGCTGTTCGTATTCAGGAATTTTGTGGTTTTATCTTGTAGGATAAGTTTAAATGTACCTAAGAGTTAACTGATGGGTTTGGCAGCACTGTGAAAGTGCATGTTTTTTTTAAAATAGGATACATCTGTTTAGCTAATATGTCCTTTATCTCACAAGAAAGTGGAAAAATGGTGGAAATATGAGCTCAGGCTCCTGGTAGAAAGAGTCACTAGCTGGATGCTCTTCTCCATGTCTAAATTTCAGGGTTGTGCTTGCTGTGGCCAAATCAGTCCTTACAAGCCATTTGAAGGACTTTTATCAGGAGCAAATTTTAAATAGGATTAGTAAGTCATTGAACAAACATTAATGTTCCTTTTGTAAAGGAGTCCTTGAAGTCTAGCTAACCTACAGCTAGCCTTGAGTGAAGGACTGCTTTAAACATCTGAGAATGGGGTGTCCAGTTGTACTTTTGTTTACGGACCTGGGTGGAGCAGTGTGATGGAATACTTCATAGCCTTACCTCGAGATGCAAGCTGAAACATTAGATGGTAGCAGGATTATGTAGCCATAAACATTATCATTGTTACATTTGTTGTGGTAGGCATAGTTGTTCCACTTGAGTGATTAAGCTATAAACAGATGGTGACAATAATGGTAATTTATGTTTCCTGCTTTTGTAAAGGTACTCTGAAAAAGTCTTAGGCAGCCAAATAAATTGATGTCATGTTATAAGAGTGTCATGTTGGTGTAAAACTATGGCACAGCAGTAACTACCCATTACACCTATGTATTCTATGACTCAACCACTAGCACATCTTATTTGTCTTATCAATGCCTAATTGACTTTAAGTAATTTAATTAATTGATTAAGTGAGCTGGTGGGGACATTTAATGAGTAGATGAAATAGCCGACATGTTCATGAGAGGTTTGGGAACTCAGTTGGTGTTCTTCCAGCCCTCCAAGAAGATATCAGTAATTTTTTGAAGATCGGGAAAAAAATCCTGTCACTTTTCATTGTTCATCTTAATTTGCACATGTTAAATTGTATTTTGTTGTTCTGAACAAACACTTACTACCCGAATAAATAACATCAAACATTTTCTCTGATTGCCTATGACTTTTGCTGTATGTGTGTCTCTTGGAGAGCAAGATGGGATATGTGAAATGAATGTCTAATGTACTTGTTCAAGCAGCAAATAAAGCATCATTTTCATTTCATAAGTTCTGAATGTCCAGCAGTTATGGTCTGTAGTTTGTGAATTGTGTGGCTTCGGCTATAAGAGTGTGCCATACAGTGGTAACCATGGTGATATTAGCTGTGCCTTAAACAGGATGGAGGGGGTCAAACAGTGAAGCATAACAGACACCCCTGGAGATGATTCTTACCAGCAGATACTGTCACCTTCAGAATGGGCATTGGAGTTCTTCAGTGCTTTGTGTTGTATTCCTGAAGGAATTTGTCTGTTTCTTTTACTATATATAATCAGTGATTTATTTCTGTAAATTCAGAGGGTACATAAAGCTGTAGCTATTGGTGCAGTGCTTCACATTTAATTGGAGAGCAGTTCAGAAACAGGAGCATGAACATACTTATAACTTATAGGCTTTACCAATAGCAAGACTTCCCTCTGGTGGTCAATATTTGTTACTTGTGGGTTCAACATGTGAATCAATGAGTCTAAAATTACATTTAATGCCCCAGTTTTACTGGCTTGCTGATTTAAATATGTTGAGTTCATTGTACATGCATAAGTCAGCTACTGAAGCAGGGCCCTACATTTCTATACTGTCTGTATCAACAATGGTTGCATCAGTACATCAGTAGAACAAAATAAGTCACAAGTGCATGAGCTATAGTGTTGAGTGTATGACATGCAAAACTGAAATCTTTGACATGTTCTCAAACATACAGTGTTGAGTGTATGACATGCAAAACTGAAATCTTTGACATGTTCTCAAACATAAGTTTTAATATAAGATTATCAGATAGTAACAGCATCCACCAAATTATTCAACTCTCTCTTTTTTATTACAATTCACAATTAATATAAACATTCTGCTCTGTTTTATATGTCATACTTTGTATTGTTTTGATGGACATATGAAATGAAATGTTATTTCAATTGATTCAATTGATTGTTCAATTGATTGTTACTGCCTGTTTTTAGCAATGACCTGTGGTGTAACAAATGCAAGACCCCCCCCAACATCATTTTCTTTGTTTAATTTCACATAACCTCACATGTCATATTTATTTATCCCTTGTCTATACATGCCCTTTGTAGAGGTCAGACTCTCCCTTGTGCCCGAGTGCTTTCTTTGTCACCTGGCTATGAACTGAGTTTAATGTAAATATCTGTCTGTCAGTATCCTCTCCTCTCCCCCCACCTCAGGGTTTAATGCATTGGCCAGGCTTCATTCATGTCAATAATCTATTCCACAGTTTGACAGCTGTGACCCATGTAACCAATCGGTCTCTCTGCCCCATCCACAGCCAGAGTCATCGACTCCACCCCCCCTTAATGTGCACCAGGAGGAGGATGAGGAGGGGGACCTGAACAAAGCCCTGGGGGTAGAGTGTTTCCAGCAGATTCTGTACACAGTCCCTAGTGTCCCAGATGAGCATCGTCGATGCTACAGTGAGGAGGACTTTGAGTGTGAGTACACTGATTCTATTTGACGCTCATGTGGTGTTTGGGACAAAGAATCAACTCCTATAGAATCTCCAAAATAGCAAAAAATCCTGCTGGTCAGTTTTCACTGGTGAATTTCAAAAGCCTTTTTTATGATTAAATGCATTCCTGCAGCAGGCTGCAAATGATGCATTGAGGAGTCTGGCCAGTAGAGGCACTCTTCCCAAGTCACATGCCCTAGATGTGGTCCAAATCTGTGATGTGTCTGGCACCAGTTAGAGACAGGAGATACACAGTTATAGATGACAAAAACTCTAGCACAGTGGACAATAGTATTGGCTGACTACTGAGGAAGACCCACCAACATGCTTGTCTGCTAACTGGCAAATAACCAGTCTCCAGCAGTGGAAGGGGCATTGATCTTTCAACAGGACAAAATCCTCCACACTGAGATTTTCAATGTGTGCAAACAGCAACTGACCTGGCGCGCAAACTGAGAAATTCCTGAACTTTCTTGAAGTCAAGTTGTTCCTTAGAAAGTGAATCAAGGAAAAGCCCTCAGTCAGCCTTTCAGGGATTTTTTTAGACACCAGACAAGGAAAGTTACTGAAACATGGTTCAGGAAGAATCAGTATTATTAATTTTGAAATTGTGGTGCCACATGCGTATTTAGCTATTTGACTGATGCTCTGGGGTTGTGTGCATCACAGTACCACCTGTTGTGTTGTGCAATGGATCAAACTGACTCTAAACGATAGAATCAATTTCAATGGATTGATTGCGTGATTATTGGCTGATTGTCAGTGTAATCTAATTTACTGCATGCAGATTCAAATTGGCTGTTTGTGTCATTTTAATGGTGACCATGGAGTTACAGTTTTCCACACCAGTATGGTAAATGCTATAGGAAGTTATTGTGATGTATACAGGGTCAGACCAACCCTTTTCAGGACCTAAGGAAAATCTGATTAACCTAGTTGAATAGCAACTTACCAAAACTCACTCACCCATGGGATACTTGGATTTAACTATTTCTGTTCTGGCTCTTCTGCTTTTCCAGTCTCTCCATGTAGTGACCATGCACTGGGGTGTACTGGTTACTGGTCTGTGCTGTGGTTTTGTGAATGGTCTGTTTTGTATTATGTATTCGTCATTGTCTCTGTGTTGGTATCTGGTTTTAATGTTGTATCATTTATTTATTTGTTGTATTCCTTTTTAAATGCCTGGCTGCAACCTAAATTTCCCTGGTGGGATAATAAATTTGACTTGACTTTTTTGGAGAAAGATTTCTGTGGACTTAGTGAGTTTTGGAAATTTAACAGAAGTTCTTTGTTGGATCATATGAGGGCTGAGTGAGTTTGGTCCCCAGTACTGTAACATGTGATGAGGAAGCCTGACTTTAGGTCACTGGCAGTCTCATCTCAAAACCAACAACAAATGGACAGAGTTCTGCAAATTGGTCCTTCAGTTGTCATTTGCCATCTTCTTTCCAATTTTGACAGGCCAATCAGATGGGGGCCCTCTGATGACCACTGTGCCATAATGAGCCACTTAGGTACTTATGACAGTAATTGATTGCACTGGGGTCAATCGATTGCTCTTTTTCCATTTCTCCTCAGACCACCGTCATTCCTCACACCATATCCATCATCCGCTGGCCAGGCTGCCCTCTGATGGACGAAAGAAGAAGAGCAGCAAGAAGAAAAAGAGTGGGGGCCACAAAAGTAGTAGTTCCGGGGCCCCTACCATCGAAGAGGGGGAGGAGGAGGATGAAGAGCGCACACTTGAGAGAGATGGCCAAGCGGCTGTGCCCACTGCCAGCGCAGTCTCTGACAGCCCGAACGAGAGAGTGCAGGTAACAGATCCACCAGACTCTGCGGAGGTGACCTTGAGACAGAGTCCTATGGGTCCTATTTAGCAATAACACAGAAACCCACTGAGCACTTCAGTTTTAGCCCATAATCATATACTCTCGATACATTAATAATATCCATCCATCCATCCCTCTCTGTGGGAGGCATGAAGAATGTTCAGAATACATGTAATACAAACTGACCATGAAACATGTTGTGTGTGTAAGCCTGCACTGTAACTTGTTCTCCTCAATTATATTACATTTAATAAGGACGTTTAACTGCTTTTGTTACCGAGGGTGAATCTTAATACCAAGAACGCAAAGATCGTACATGTGGTCTTAGCAAGACCGGTCTTGCGACCTTGCCTTCCAAGAACGATCTCACAAGATCACGAGGACAGAACGCACCAATAGTGGATTGAGACAGATGTATACTTGTGTACTTGCTGCTCTACTGTGCTGTACGCCCAGCTTATTACCCCAACCATAATTTTAACTTTTATTGTAGTATATAATAAAAAACACATAATTGAAATGTCCAGTATAAATTACTATTCCTGGTATGATTTATTTCCACAAATAAAGTTTACACTTAAATATTCGCATTAATTTCTTGCACTCTGTACAAATGCTATATGAGGGTCTTAACCATTTCAGTTCAGCAGTCTCACGAGCCAAAAAAGTGAAACGTAGCTCTGATTAAGGTAGTACAGTTATGGTTCGCACTTTCTTCCTCCTCCTTCGTAACAGCATGCAATGGATCATGGGATTGTTCTCTTTGGCAAGGATGCACCCGATGTATCCTTGATATTTCGGGCGGAGCCAGACCAACATCCATGGATTTTTACTGTCCTCTGATCTTGTGACCTTAGTATTGGAACTGGTCTTCGGCAATGTAAGATGGTGTAAAATGGGTACAGGGGAACACAAGTATGGTCAAGTACGCATATCGAGATTCAGCCCACCCCAGGTGTGTTCTACACACTGACCCATTGATGTCCAGGCCCCTGTACCAATGATCGGTTTATCTTTGTCTTTTTATAAATATTTTAAAAGTTTTAAAATGAAATTCAGATGTATATGGCATACCTTACACCAGCCTAATGTTAAATTACAATAATTTAATTTAAATTAATTAAGTTCATCTTCTGTTAATCATAAGCAGCTTGGTGCTGAGGCCTCGCGAAAGTACAGCTCTCATACACTTAACATGGCAACTGCAATTTAGAAGCTTAAAATAAGAGCATAACGACACCGTCTGGCACTTTCACATATTGTGTTGTCACTATGGAATGGGTGACAGGACTGAGAAATGGGACCCCCACATTAAAACTGGCCAGCAAAATATTACGTTCCATGTTTGAGTTCCAACACGTCTTTTAAACTTTTACTGTTGGTTAAAATGACCATGTAACGGCTTCCAGAGTGCAGTGTTTTTTTTTTTAAACTTTTGTTTGGTTACAAGGCGCATGTACTTGCTGACTTAATGTGCAGGAGTGGATTGCATATCTTGTTACTTTAGGTTCGGTTTGAATTCAGGGTTTGACGGCCTGCAATTTAGAGCTTCTTAAAGAGCACCTGTAAATCTTGCAGCACCTAGGGAACGCCGCTTTCATGTCTGTCTCTCGTCTGCCTCCAGTTCTTCCTTACGGATGACCCTCCCACTCCCTCACCGGGCTGTTCCCTAGCCCCACAACCAATGGACTTTGTACCGGAGTTGGCCATGCATGCAAGCCCCCCCCACCATGAGGATGCCACACCCACAGAGTGAGTACATGGGCCTCGCCCTTCACAGCCCATCCCTGCTGACCATGTGGCATTGCCACAGCAACCTGAACAACGCAATGAGAAGATTGTTTCAATCTTTCTTATGGCCTTTATGTCTGGACACTCTGTACGTTACTACGTGAGAGGTATCCAGATCCCCGGCAGGAGGCCTGAACTTTACCACCTCATCTTCCTTTCAGCCATCCTTTCCACACCCCCATAATATACGAACCACCAGATTTGTACATGAATGCTTCTCCTAGGTCCTCACCTCTCTCCTGCTCACTGTTTCATTTTCCCGATTCCCCTTATTCGTTGGTTGACTCTGGACACGTAATTGCCTCATTTTACCTCTACTGGGAAAAGTAGTGAATCTCTATTATAAAGGAAAACTATTTCAAAAGATACTAATGCGTGCTAAGAGTTTGGGAGAAGTTGGGAAGCAATTCTCAGCATAATCTTTCGGAGGGAATCCTGAAGCAGAAATCTGGGCAGCTTTGACCAGCCTTTTGTGAGTATATTTAGCAACTTTGCAGCAATGCTTATGGGTCCCTTTCTTAGATTCACCTGCCGTATTGTTCTACATTAGGTCATACATGCAAATAATAATACTGGCTGGAGAAAGAGATTCAGGATAACAGGTACCTTGTGTAGAGAAAGGCTTAATTTAAGACCAAGACAAACTGTGAAGTCATTCTCATGTGCTGCTCTGAGGACAGATCTGAAAATACTCTTTCAGACAAAGAAGGTATTGATTTCCTGTTTGTGCCGTGGGTCTGCTTCAGTTTCTTAGGTAGTAAAACAAACAGCACCGTCACTTGGTGCTCGGACACTCTCTGGTATTTGAGGTTTTAGCCCCTTATTATGTGGAAAATTAAATTACTGCCTTGGTTCTCAGATTCTGGAAAGTTTGAGAACAAGTGGCTTAAATTTCAAAAACAACAAGGTATTTAATGAAGCTTTCATAGAATAAAATGAAACTCTCAGGAGTAATTTATTTTTCCAAAATTCTCTTTTATTAGCTTTAATTTCAAATATAAATCAAGTCAAACCAAACTATCTATCTATCCATCCATCCATCATGATACAGCTTTACACAGAAGACAATATAAAACAAAAGCCAATAATGAATACATAATTAAACATGCTCTACAAAAAGTGCAACTTTCGACCAGGGCTGTGGAGTGGGTTTGATTATAAACAGGTTACAAAGGAAGAAATGCATAGTGTACAGTGTAAGGCATTCCCTCCATTTGCTATGTGCATTGCACTGAGAACTTTGAGAAGAAATGTCTCATTTCACAAAGATGCCATGATACTATGTGTCGCTAAAACTTACAGTAAGCATGAGAGGTTCCGATGGCCCCCGTCTGCTCCGCTCTGTGTGAAATGGACATTTTCTGGTGTTGCTGTGAAGACAAGGGCAGGGAACCTGGCTCAGATTTCTATACCGGAACTACCTGCACTTCTGCACCTCTCCATACCCCAGCCACTGCACTGTGCTGGAATATGACATTGTTTTGTACAATGAAAATGACTATAAATGACTGTAGAGAAAGGCGAGGGCTAGTCCTGTCTTCTACTCTTTCATGTGGTGAACACACAGAAGATCCCGGCTGCTCCTGGAGGTGATGTAAATACGCCCTGTGGTCATGATCACATTCAGCCTCATGTGGCTGTGTATAATAGGGCTCCTCTCCCAGCACGTGGTGGGGGGGGTGGCTGACAGTAGAAGCCCTCATATCCTCCATGGGATGCAAAGACAGTAATCACAGCTTTATTGTCCCTGACTCTCCTGGGTCTGTTCTTCCCACCCAGCAACTGGGAACAGCAGGGGATCTCGACCGAAGACAGAAGCAGCGCGTCCACAGCCGCCCCGGCGTCCCCCGGCTCCCCGAGGGCCCCAGACACCCCCAGCTCGCTGACTCGCGTGCCGTCCACCAGTCGTGGCTACGACCTACAGGAGCGCCGCCGCACGGGTAACATGACGGGAGCTGAGCAGGCCCGGTACCAGCGGATCCCCACGGATGAAAGCGAGGCCCAGATGCTGGCCACCGTGGACCTGGACGGGATCAAAAGTGAGTTCTGGTGTGGGGACCTGCAGGGCACCAGGACCCCAACCTCAGCTGTGTACCATAGTGAACCATAGTGAGCAGGTGGAACGTACCATTAAGGGATAAATATAAAAATATATAAAAGAGAATTTACAGTTTAAATTTACGATATAAAATTACGAAATAAAATCATATTAGGCTACAACATAGATTTTTAAAAAGCAATAATGTACAATAATGTACAATAATGTAAATTTAACAGGAGCATTTTTGGCTCAACAATTAAGAAACCGTGAAAAACATTTAAGGAAATATGACGAACAATTTTTGTGTCTTTTCTGTTTTATTTTTTTTTGTGTTTTGCACATCAGGGCCAATATACTTAAATTTGTTCGCATGAAACTAACAAATTAGCCACTGACGATGTTATGGGTTTCTACAGCAAGAGAAATAATAATATTGTAGGCTAGTATATTTTATACTAAATAAAATATGAACCTTTTCAGTATTGTACAAAGTACAGAAATGGTTTTTCAGGTCCTGCCTGTAGCCTTCAACATGATATTTCATTGTGTGTTTTTAAGTAAAATTAAGTTAGTTAATTCTTATGTTCATTATAAAAGGATACACCATTAATTGGCATTTTTGGTCTAATTAATTTCCTGAGTCATCAGGCGCTAGTCATGTTTTTTCTGGTTTCATGTGAAGTTGCACAATAAACCAAACTATATGCTTGAATGCTAGAGGACTGCACAAAATGTTTAAGTTTTTAGAATCATTCGTTTTCTGAAACTTTTTCTTGTCTCTGTAGGGGTAAATAGGATGTATACAAACATTGTCGTTGTTTGCAATGTTACATAGTACCGTTGGGAAGCTTCACATAATTATTGAATGACGTTTTGTGCAGTGCGCAGTATTGGTGTATATCATATTTTTCAGGTTTAGGGTTGCTGTGATCTTCTCATTGCAGCCTTTCCGTTTCATCAGGCTTCTCAGATGACTAATCATTAAAGAGCATGTTGGTCTTCAATCTGTCACCCAGGTGTGATACTGTGTTCTGTTTTTGCAAACTGGTAACTTCAGAATATTTACTGACCATATTCATCACAGTCGTGGGAAGGATCTCAGCTATTTGTGTCTGCTGTACAGTGTACAGTCCAAGGGGGACCCTTGCTTTGTGTCCATTTATTTACCTGCTTAGCTGCTCTTTCCGGCAGGTTTGAACCAGTTTGGTTCTAGGGCCACTGTTGCCCAGGTGAAAGATCGTGGAGCAACATTGCAGTTGCCCTTGAGATCTTATTTTTGACTTAATATATGAGTGTGAACAGAAACTCTGCATATTAAAACTTTAGATGGAAATCACAAAATACACACTTTTTTGTTCTTTTATTATAGACCAACACTGTTTCATTCTCCCTTCCCTCTGAATTTTGTTCCTGTTGAACTTTTAAAGTTGTCTTCATAATTTACTCCTTAACTTTAATCTGTTCTTCTACCACCGCTATGTTTTATGTACACTTCCAGAGGAGTGCAGAGCCAGGGGCCAAGTGATTTAAAGGCCACTGAAACAGAACGAGGCAGACTGTACGGAGGAGCCCTGTGACGTAGAGGCACCCCCTTGGCCCATGGGGGAAGGGTAGTAAAGTCAGAGACGGGTGGGTAAAGGCAGTTAGATTTCCCGCTTGTGAGCCTCTGTCAGCTGAAAGCCCTGGATCCAAAACCAGCACGACTGAACAATCATTCAAACATCCAGTCACGGCACATCGCCCCTCTTCAGGCCCGCAGGATAAATTTTTGTGGAGGGGACCAAACAGTGAGCAAAAGGTCTCAACTCTTAAGCTTTTCCAGCCATGCTTGATGAGGCATTCGGCGTGATTTAATATACAGTGGTACCTCAGTTTTCTAATTCATTATAACTCGAATTTCTTAAAAGTCGAACCAACTAGTTCGAAAAAAAAAATACCTAGAACTCGATCTGAATCTCAGAAGTCAAACCGTGAACGCCGAGGTAAGATAATTTGTAGCGGCGGGGAAATGAGTCACGTGGCACGTCTCTCAGCAGAAACAAAGGGTAAAGCTTCAGTCTCAGCCTCACATTCGCTGTGATAGCATCATGCATGTTTACACTAGCTGAATACATATATTTAGACAGTAAAAATACATTTAGACAATGATAGACAGTAACAGTAATTATTATATAATAAAATACATTTAAAAATAAAGATTTCTTATTAATTATTTTAATATCATTAATAATAAACCATCAATAAATTTAATTATAATAATATTGTCGTGCCCAGCCGGGACTGAATGGAGACAAAGGCGCAGACGTCAGGGTATCGGGGAATACGGGTTTAATTACAGGTCTGGCAAGCAAAAGGCAGACGGACAATACAATGACCGGACTAGGGAAACAAACTGAAACGCGGACTAAATACAGAGGACTAATGACAACAACCAGAAACAGCTGATCACACGTTGGGATTCCACGCGGGGTTAACGAGGGGGCGTGGCACACGGAAGGAGCGGACGATGGAGGCAGTACACATTGTTTGGATACATATATTTTCTTACTTTAAAAATTACTGTTTTGATAAATGTGCTTAGGTGCGTTTAGTACAGCATATGCTCTTCTTGTTATATCCGGTTCATTTTGTGTTTAAATGCTACAAAAAGAAAAACATATTTCAGTGTAATTTTTTGGGGCTGGGAACCAATTAATTGGTTTTCCATTATTTCTTATGGGGAAAATTCAATCAGAATGCGAACTTTTTAGGATTCGATCCGGAGTTATGAACGGATTAAGTTCGAGTTCTGAGGTACCACTGTACTAATATATTACTAAACATTTTGACTGACACTAGCCGACACACATACAATGTTACAGTGTTGTCTGGTATGGAGTTGTCAATCACCCAGAAATGAAGTAGTTTTCTTTGTTGCAGTAACAAATTAGCCTATCACAGATCTGGGAAAATGATGCTGACAACTGTATCCAACATAGGCTTGGTATAGATTAAGCCTATATATAATTTACTTCTACTGTGACAGATCTTTGCTTTTGCGGGTTGTTTTTTCTGTATTGCATACCGCTGTGGTCCGTGTGACCGAACTGCATCCGGTACAATTTAAGGCACCTTAGTTCTCAACTTCAGGACCCAATAGAAAGGATGCGCTAATTAAGTTACAAATCTAGCACGTATAGATGTTTTTCAGTAAAATGTTTTAGACAGTGACATCGATGTTTTGAGTTATTTATCCTTAGCTAAATCGGTAGGTCATCCTGGAAGTAAACCATTTTAAAGCCATGTATAGGCTAATAGGAATGCGTACATTTTACTCTGCTTACTTACAAACGAGATCGAGAAAAACGGTGGGAACGCGCGTGCACCGGCACGGGGATGCGCGCGCTTGTGAGGCGACTCCTTCCTGCAGCAAACACATGTGAGCAGGTCTATAGTTTCATGAGTTCAAACAGCACGGTATTTAACCCAGTTTATGGATGATACTTATCAAAGTTTTGTTATCTTTTCCCCTCAAAAGTGGGGGTACGGGTCAGACCCCTGCCCCTTTTCCTTAAGTGATACAATCTGGCTCCCGGGTCTTGTATGAAAAGTCAGTAAGTCTTTATAGGCTATATTAATAATCATAAAAATAATCAGATACCTATCAATTAGAAGCGTAAATCTGACATAACAAGTTGATTCGACAACGATCCACAACCTATTCAAAGCATCATGAGAACGATTCGATATTTTGATATAATTGAGGACAAGTAACTGGAGGAACTATTTACATAATGGTATGCATTAAATAAGCTGAAACTGTGCCTACCTGGTATCACGGACCTCGGTGGTTCACGCACCGGGACGAGCCATATCTTCCGCAACTCCGCAGTTTAGGTCCAAGGTTAGTATCACCGACAGCAAAATGACATGTCGTCCCAACACCGACGATAAAACGTGCAGGGGAAAGATTCAATTGTTCCACGGTGTCTGGGCTTTTCTCCACTGCCCCCGGGCGGTAATGCCCGGTAATAGTCTATGTCCTGCTCCCGATAATTATATAAACATTTATACTGCCCAGGGGGGAAATATACTTGAACATTACAGTCAATTCTGCAAATTAAAACCCGATGTCTCAGTATCGATCTGCCCATCGCTACTCCGTAGGCTCTTTACAGATAAACTGCTCATCTCTCCAGATCCTTTACAGCCATTAACAGATCGATAACCGGATGATACGGAGATGGAACCGGCGAACTCAGTGCTGATTTCTTACTGCTTAGAGCCACGTTGACGTCACCGTTTCATGTGATTTGCCATGTTTATCTTGTTGCCGAAGTATTTCATTTATGTCCTACACTTTCTGTCAGGAGTGCTGCCTGTCTTCCGTGAAGTTTCTAAATGCCTGATTTGGAGTGAGGAGCATCCAATAATCTCTCGCTCATTGTAGCGTTAGCCAACAGCTTGAGCATTTATGATGGCGCCTCACCTTAGCATCGAAACAGACCTTGCTGCTCTGTCCAGGAGTGGATTGTTGATCTGTAGGATATCTATGGAACTTATAACTATAAAAAGTATTTTATCGTCTGATATGCAAATTTATTGGAAATTATTTTAGTCGATTACAGTACTCCAAAATCTATGCAGCTGAATTGCCTCTTTCATATAGATTAGTCGATTTTTACAACCCTTATGGTAAAAGTGTAAATCAGGAATTCCTGTACAGTATAGTGCATTCATATATGTTAAATCGAGCCAGGAAATGCAACATTTTGGGCATTAAATACATACTTAAAATACTGCTATATAGCCAGTATTATCTTTCAGAGAGGATCTACTGTCCCACTTTTTTGGCCTGCATGTAGTTTTTGTGATTGTTGTGTTTGGCCTCTCTCAGGGTTCAAGACAATGTCAGGGATGCCTTCGATATATCTGGCCTTTGTTCTCTCTGACTTTGCACAATCCAAATCAGCCTGGGAAACTTTCTTTGGAGCTGGCTGGCTCTCAGCTCCAGGAATTATTAGATCACTTCTGGTTCATGGTTCATTAGGCAGGCTTTAACACCTCCACTTTTCAATCGTCAACAGTACAAGCCCATTATGGTTGCTGTGGAGTCAGGCTATTCCAGCCTCTTCTCAATGAGCATGTTGGGGTCATGGCTTTGTGACTGGGACAGTTCACCCCTACTCTTTTTGTACTTCGGTTGGAATCACAGGCATGCTGGATTTTCCACATTCAAGCTTCAGGTCTGGAAGAGGGCACTGGATGTTGCCAATTGACACTGGCCATTATTTCTAGTGTTCCAGGTTTGAGAAGAAGAACAATTTTGCAGTCAGATTAGGCCAAAATGGTTAATTGCAGATCTCTTTCTTATGGCTGTTGGTCTTTATCAATTCATCTTGCTCTCGCATAGTCATTGTCCATTAGTCAAAAAGCTACAGTGCATGCATGCATCTCCAAGCTTAACTTTCCAGGCACTTAGAGCTAACTGGCTGTTTAATCTTTGAGACCTCAGCCTTTTAAAATGGCACCTTCATACCTCTGCATTGGAGGCTGAATTCTCCACCAGATTGCATGCCTTTCTGGACCACATAATGTGAACTTCATCCATTGATTTGTCAAAATAAAAAGCCGCCATTGATCCTCCCGGGTTTCTCTGGTGCGGAAGATTGAACCTCCCATTGCCTCTGCTTTCTGCTCTTCGGTGTCTTGGGATGCTGCCTGATAGTCGGACTCTAGGGTGCAAGAGGCTAAAGCCTAGGTCATACTTCACTTCTCCGCATGCTCTTTCGGGCTGGGGATGGTCGTCTGCGCAGCAGCTTGTGTTCATACTTCCTTCGACTGTGGATGCGGATGGTTGCGGTCCATGCATGTATATGGCGGTGATATTACATCAGACCAGGAGGGGGCAGATGTATTGCAACAAACACAAATACAAGCAGCGTAGTGAAACGGGTAAACTTTTATGAACAGTTCTAAAGTTATTAGTCAAGGCATGGGCAGTATTACGGAAATAAGGCATACCACGGTATTTTTAAATTCTTATGACAAAATCAGCCAGGACCCCAACCGCTCAGCACATTTTATTGGCAAGATTTCAAAATGTCAGAATAGTGCTGTTTTTTAGAATACCGTATACCTCGGAATAATGTCTGGACAGTATGAAAAATTAGATATGCAGGTACCTCCGACCCTCCTCAATAGCTGCTCACCATAATTATTACAACTATTTTTCCTCTACACTTTTGTCATTGACCACTTATCTCTGAAAGTTGGTGCTGGGGAAGATGGTGGTGCAGAAGGTAGTGCTATCGTTCGCCAACAAGAGAGTTGCAGGTTTGAGCCCTGGTTTCTCCTGACTCCATCAAAGTGTCCTTGAGCAAGACACTGAACCCCAAATTGCTCCTGGTGTGCAGGTTGGCGCCTTGCATGGCAGCCTTTGCCATCGGTGTATGAATGTGTGGTATGGATGGGTGAATGTGAGGCATATATTGTAAAGTGCTTTGAGTACTCGTAGGAGTAGAAAAGCGCTATATAAATGCAGTCCATTTACCACCTACTGGAAATACCTAATCAATTATCTTGCACATACACGATTGATGTGCATGGATGTGAAAGGGTTCTGCTAAACATAGAAATTTGGGTTACACTCGCACCAACCCCTGATGACAAAATTTACAGCATGTCCCCTCGTCTACAACTGAAAGTGCACGTGAAAAAGTGAAGTATGAATTGGCCTTAAGGCAAAGAAGTAATCAGAGCACACAAAATCATTTGTATGGTCATTGTGTGCCTGGAGCAGTATTGTCATTCCAAGGACCGTCTTGTGTTTTCTTGCAAATTGGAGTACTGTGACTCATGGAATAGCTACAGATTCTGTAGTCAAGCATTCATAAAGAAACTGTGTCAGATCTGCTTTATGCTGAAAGGGTTGGGCACCAGGATCATGGGTAAGGAGAAAGTCTTAAAGTCTTCACATACTGACTATGTGGGAGGTCTAACTGCTCTAGAACAACTGGCTTTAACAAGTGAAATGGCATTTGGTATTATGTAAGTTTCTTTATTTTTCCTATGGTGTTTTTATTAATGCAAACCTCAGTTGGCAAAAGTGTTACCTGTTGCTGAGTGCATTAAAATGAGGGGTTTCATTTACAAACAATCCTCAGGCAGGAAGGCAAGTCGGATAGAGTCCAGAGGAGGAGGGTCAGGCCCTTAGTCCCTGTGTGTATTAATGTGAAACCCAAAACCCTTCGTAATGGCCCCCCTGGGAGCCCATAGGGTGAGGCTCACACACTGCCCCATTTGTTGTTAGAGGGAAATGACGGCCTCTGCGTCCTCACTCCCAATACAAACTCATGCTCACACGATTTCCGTACCGTCTTCCCTGCCTAAATGGCTGGTCACGTACCTTCAGTACTCAGCCAGCCTCGAAATGCAATGCCACAGCAGGGGTGGGGGGGGTGTGGGGACAAAGACAGGGTGTTCACTCTTTGACTGGAGTGAGGAGGAGGGAGATTTGATCTATGGGGTGAGGTCACTACAGAGAGCGTGTTCCAGGTACTTGTTGTCCTTGTTTTTGGGAAAATCTGACTGCTGCTGGGGGATGCGGGATGGGGTTAGGCCTGAAAAAGTAGGCCTATCTCGTAACCTTCAGCCATGTCTCCAGGTGCATCAGTCTGGGGCTGCACCAGTAAATGTGCTCAAAGGTCTAGCTGTGATTGCCACTGAGAGCAGCCCAGACAAAGTCAAAATCTGGGTAACCGAGCAACAAATGGTTAGGTGGTAAATACCTTCAAGATGTTGATAGCCCAGGAAACTTCCTAGATCCCTTTCTTTTCCTTATTGCAGGTCCTGGTTTCTGATACCACCTTTCTAAAGCCTTAAATTTGTCTTTCTTGTGTGAAAGTGCAGCTTTGCTTCAGCAGATGAAAGTTGCCAGTCATCTGACTGCTTGCAGTTCATCTAGAGGGTTGTGTCAGATTCTGATCGGGCATAAACTCTGTGCTGTTACTAGGCCATCGCTTCGAGGACGTCCCAGGAGTCCGTCGGCATCTGGTCAGGAAGAGCACCAAGGGCCACATCGTCCATGTCAGCAAGGACCACAAGGAGCCCAGCACTCGCAGTCGAAAACTAGACCGTACCCCCCATGAGGTGAGTAGTCCTTCAAGAGTGCGCACAGAGTGCTTGAGCTTTGCTGAATATTCCTACAACAGTTGTCAATTTTTGTTTGCAGAGCAACTGAACGACACATAAAATATATATGCAGAATATGAACCCATGTGCAATTCTGAGATCACTTATTTAGAAACACCAAAAAACCTTTTTCCCCCACTGTCCTCATGCTCTGTCCTGTTCCTGAAATTGTATTGTTGGATGTTTGATGTTCATGTCTGCAGTAAAGAACCAAAAAAAAAACAAAAAAAAAGATACCCCAAAAAACCTCTAACTTTGTCTCTGTTTTAGATCTGCTTCCTCCTTTTTCGACAGATAGAGTGAAAGAGGGAACACAATTAAAAATAGATGAATGACTTTCCTTTCACACACCAAGAGGGTGGGAGGGGGGAACAGGACAGGTAACCAGATACTGGGAACTCTTAAGTCTCAATCAGGAAGACATGTTTTATTAACAAGCTCCAGTCCCTGGCTGGCAAGTAAACACCACATTTATCTCTGTGGGAGTGGGGTGTGTGTGTGTGTGTGTGTGTGTGTGTGTGTGTGTGTGTGTGTTAGCGGATTTGGGGGTAGAGGTGTAGGACTCCCCTGTGGGAGTCCGCAGTAGATAACCGTCCTCCGACCCCACATCTCCACTACTTGTGCCTCCAGTCAGAGGTTCTCAGCAGCTCCTGTTCCATGTGGGTGGGTATGGCCCGAATGGACTGCGTGGGCTGTGTGGCCCTCAACCACAAGGAGGTGAGGGTGTTGGGAAGCGCAGCCTAACCAGAATAGTCCTGTGTGCTTTCGGGTGTGTGTGTAGTAAGGTGGAGATAGATGGGAAGAAGGGGTGCCTCTAACAAAATGGTCTGTGTTAAGAAAAAATGAAGACGTGCTCTTGTTAAGCATGAAGAGTGTTAGCACCGGCTAAGTAGCAGGTGCACAAGTGTTGTGGGCACAGACAGGAGAGGTGATAGACACAAGCAGAAGTAGTTTACGAGTAGCTGTGAAGATCCTGCAGAGCAAAGCTAGGCATAGGTTTTGACATAGACTGCCTGCAATCTTTGTGCTGGGTTTACTTTAACTGTTCAACTAACAAATGTTCTGAAGTGCTTGTTCTTTGTGCCATTCCTTGGTTAATGGGCTCGGTTCGGTTAATGGGAGTATGAGAAGGTACTGCTGTGTCCTCTGGAAACTCCAACTGTGAGGTGGATGCAAGGATGCGGACATGGATCTGGGTTCACTTCTGACGCCTGTCTAAAATTGCTTTGCAGAATGAATAGTCCAGCAAGTCATTGTAATTTGGTTTAATATTTCATGGTTTTACTAAGAGCAACCTAAAGAGAATTTTTGTAAGGTCCTTTTCCTCCAAAAAGCATAAAAAACAAACCATTTGGATTGCCTGTTGTCTCCTATTTGCCACTACTGGTGGTTCACCTGCTCCTGATTAGACTAATGAGGCCTATTCAGGTGCAACCACTTGGAAGGTTTGTGGGAATAGCCTGATTGGCTGGCTAATGCAATTACCACAGCTCTTTGCAGACTTGCTGAACTGCCCTGAAGCTTGTTGAAATATCAAAGATTTGTTTTTGGTTCCATTACTAAAAGGCTTTTAATGAGAATTTAGTCAGTAGTCCTGCAGATAATAGTTGACTCCTTCACTTAGTCGCTTCATAGATGTTTTTAAATGCAAACCATACCCAGTGCTTAATTGTTAAATTTATGTTGTGGGCATCATACTGGGTTTTAATAGTATTTCAACTGCTAATGTTTTAATTGTTTTAATAGTTTTTTAGCTCCTCTACAATATGCCCACATAACCAGTGCTGCCATTGGCTTCTTGTAGCTTTGGGCAAGGCAGCCCTGTCATATTTGATATCCATTTTATGAAGCTGTAGTTCATGCTGTATACAGCCATGTGTCTGCTGATCAGCTGCTAGATAGATAAACAAGTGTAGTCAGCACAAGGTTGTACTCTGGGTGCCCACCTGAAGGTCAAGCATTTCTCAGTTCTGTCTGCCATCAAGTCATACTCTTCTGCTTGATTTAGGTGTTTGTGGAGCTGAACGAGCTGATCATGGACAAAAACCAAGAGATGCAGTGGCGGGAGACGGCCCGCTGGATCAAGTTTGAGGAGGATGTGGAGGAGGAGACGGACCGCTGGGGGAAGCCCCATGTGGCCTCGCTCAGCTTCCGCAGCCTGTTGGAGCTCCGCAAGACCATCTCTCATGGTGAGGGAGGAGGGCAGGAGTAGAATGGAGGCGATAGGAGCAGAGCTACAGAATGGTTTGGGAAAGACCACTAATGGGCAGTAGAATAGGATGAATTTTTTTTTTTGTTTTTTTTAATAATTTTTTATTAGTATACCATGTTGGCTAGGAATGCATGAAAAGATGGTGACTAGCCTCTGTTTACTGACCATCACTGTAAGTGACATGTTGTGGATATTAGTAGCCTACACTGCTGACCTGGGGAACAGAATGATCCAGTGGTGTGCCTTTGAGCCAGTGAAATGGTGCATCTGTTGACCATGTGAACCAACCACATGAATTTCTCTTCAACTGTATAGGAGCTGTTCTCCTTGACCTGGACCAGAAGACTTTGCCTGGCATTGCTCACCAGGTGGTTGAGCAGATGATCATCTCTGATCAGATCAAAGCAGAAGACCGGGCAAATGTATTGAGAGCTTTGCTGCTCAAGCATAGGTATGGGAATGCATGCTTATAAAAGTAGGTATATCATCCAATTGTAGAATGGACATTTTAGAAAGAAATGTTTTCTGTACTGACCTAATATTTCTAATGTTGCTTTTCAGTTGTAGCATGTCTGTCACTTTCTCCTTAATTCTCTTCATCTTCCTCCACCAGTCACCCCAGCGACGAGAAGGAGCACATCACCTTCCCCCGGAACATCTCGACTGCTAGTCTAGGCTCTCTCATGGTTCACCACAGCAGTAACCACAGCGGCCAGCCGGAGTCGTCTGTCACAGACCCGCTCATGGGGCGCAGCAGAGCCAGTTCCGAGAGCGACACACACATTGACATTGACAAGCATGAGGTACCAGTCTGGTCACACACTTTCGGAAACAGGTCAAGCCATAACATTTTCTAGTGTTTGCTAAGGTGTCAACTAATTTATTAATATCAGACGCTTCTTGTGTGGGTTTGCATAAATCACATTTGGGGACCAAAAGGACCCCAGAGTGTGGTAAAACAAACCTCCTTACTTTTGGAGACATCTTTTAATCCCCATTTGGATCCATTTTATAAAAATCTGTGAATGCAGTCAAACAAGTAAAAATGCCACAAGTCTTGTCTTGTATTTTGGTTGGTTACTTGTGGTTAGGGTATGAGTTAAGGGTGTCATGATTGAGATTAGGGTTTTGCCCATAGAAATGAATGGACAGTCCCCACAAAGATATG